AGGTATATGTGAACTGCTGTATGGAAAGTGAATTTGCTCTGTAAATCTTCACCCAAATCACAATTTAAAAAAAAAAAAAAAAAAGATTTACAGCCTTGGAAACCCAATGGGGGTCTCCATGAGTTTGAATTGACTTGAGGGCAGTGAGTGAGTGATGGTTCTGTCTTAATCTGGGTTCTCTAGAGGAGCAAAACTAATGAAATACATATGGGTGTGTATGTATGTTTGTGTATGTATATATATAGAGAAATTTACTTCAATGACATCACTCACAGAATATTGGGGGCTGATGAGACCCAAATATGTGAGTCAAATAACAGGCTGGAGACCTCTGCTGGCTCACACAGCTGCTGGGGATGCCAAACTCAACAACTGCAGGTCAAGAGGCACACAAGAGACCTCTGCTGGCTTACACCCCAAGAACTAGAGATCAGGTGATGAGAAGAGTCCAGAATCAAGAAAGTGAGCTGTACCAAAATATCACTTTATATAGTGGAGGTAGGTCACATCCCCAAGGAAACTCCCCTTCAACTGATTGGCTGCTCATATCAGATCACGAAATGGAAGGTAATTACAGTGTCTGCCAAACCACTGAGAATCATAGCCTCACCAAGTTGACACAAAACACTAACCATCACAGATGGTATTCAACCAAGGTTACAGTAAACTGCGTGATACTAGATTTATAGGATCATCAATTGTCCATATTTGAGTAGGTTTTGAATTCCAGCCTCTCAATGGATGTCATACAGCCTTTGCCAGAAGACCTTTAATGACCAAAAAAAAAAAAAAAAAACCTCACTGCCATCATCTAATGACAAGGCAATTTTAATGCTACCCTAGTGCTGTTTTTAGAGAATTCTTCTTTCATTGGTACAGGTTCTCAAAACCAGCAAACTCAAAGAAAATAAATCAGGATAACAAGTGACAAAAAAGAGAAGTGAGGTGAATGTTGTGTGTGTCCAGGGTCATGCATGTACCCCGGGATAAATGCACATGTGCACACTGAAAGATCCCAGACAATCCCATGCACACATCTTGGCAGTGTACCTTGCTGTCATATCGTGATCTCTGTCATAAATTTCCTCCATGTTGATCCAAAGAGAAGATGTGGCTTCCCTTAAATCCACTAAGAATGATGGATGCCAGTTGACTGTACTCTCCAAACCAAGATGGGAAAGAGCAGACACAAAAAATACAACAATGGAGCAAAAAGAAGGGGTATAGATATTTTGTTTCTTTAACAAACAGTTTGAATGTTTGCTATGTTAGTTGTAGAGAAAAGTGAGGTTCAGTTGCTTCTCTTTTTTGAGCTTTTAACTAGTTGATTGAACAAGATGGATAGCAAGTAAACAACTCGAACATGTATGGCTTAATGAAGTGCAAAAAAATGGCTTGAGTTTGTCTTTTATTGGATACCTGATAGTGCATTTGCTTATTCTAAGAAAACACAATGAAATCCTCAGTCGTCCTTAGATGAGCTGATACCATAAATATATGCAGCTGGAGTACAAATAATTTAGCAATAACATGCGACTTGCGTAAAGTGTGTTGTCTAACCAGAGCACTAGCCTCATATTCAAATCTCATTTTAGTTTCTAAAGTCAACCTGGCAATAAGGGCATGAATCTTATTTATAAACTCCTAAGGCATTGACTTTATGTTGTTGTTGTTGTTATTTGCCGTCGAGTCGGCCCCGACTCATAGCGACCCCTCCTTGGGTTTCCGAGGCAGTATCACTACGGAAGTAGGATTGCCCAACCTTCCTTCCGAGGAGTGGCTGTGGGTTTGAACCGCCAGCCTTCTGGTTAGCAGTCAAGTGCCTTAGCCACTATGCTACCAGAGCTCCTATTGACTTTATAGAAGAGTTTAATGAGAATCTTGAACCTCATTTAGACTTTCCATATACAGAACCTTGAATGTCGGGGAAATGCAAGAGGAGGGAAAGGGGACTGAAACAAGACTGACCTGTCTACTGCTCACAGACCCTGGGGACTTCAGATTGCTCTGAGAACTTCTCCAAAGTTGGTGAGGTGACTTTACTGAACAGTTCATTTCCAGGGAGGCTCTGTTCAATGCCACCCTCCTCATTGCATAGCTGGCTTCCAGTTGTGCCTGTGTATATACACACACCTTTCCCCCACTGTAGTGTATGCTGAGAATGCATCCAGAATCAGGGAATTCAAGCCTGCCCTTATCCTAGAGGACATGCTAGGACCAGGTGGAAGGGAGGTGATCTCAGCAAAGGGCCAGCAGGCACAAGGTAACCTTTTCCCTTGTGTTCTTCTCCCTGCACTGTCAGACTATTCTCTGAGCATCCAGGATTCAGAGTACATTTCTCTCTTACACCACAGAACCCTAACTTGCTAAGAGAAGTACCAAAGATGGTGCCCTGGACCTCAGGAAGAGGATCCCTACCACTTCCTTTCCCTCTTCTTTGACCCTGTGTTTTCTTTGTTGAAGGAGCTCTAATGGCACAGTGGTTAAAGCATTTGTTTGCTAACTGAAATGTTGGTGGTTTGAACCCACCAGCTGCTCCACAGGAGAAAGATGAGGCAGTCTGCTTCCGTAAAGATTTTCAGCCTTAGAAACCTTCCAGGGCAGTTCTACTCTGTCCTATAGGGTGCTATGAATCAGAATCAACTCACTGGCAGTGGGTTTGGGGTTGGGGTATCTTTGTTGAGCTATAAAGCTAGCCCTAAGAGAGTAACATTCAAGCTTTTTTATTCACCCAGAGAACAAAGTCTCCAAAGGATTGAAACAAGGGCTCTTCTGTTTGCACCTTGGAAGCTATGGTTTTTAAACATGACACTGAAAATAAACTCAAATACACAATTCTTATTTAAAGAAATGTCCTTGCATGCATATTCTCGAGCATAGGAAGGATTATGTTTGGTTGCTTGGCCTAGATTTGAGAAAAGAAGAATTCAGTTGGCTATTTTTAAGTGTAACTGACTCAAACTCATAAAACAAAGGAAAATTCACTGTTGAGCCTGGAATGTGTTTTGGCCTGCATTCCCAAACCTCACTTCAATTCATGGGGTGGAGTGGGATATAGTTATTTAATCAGCTGCCAGTGAAGTTTGGAATGTCAGTTTGGTGGCTCAGTCTTAACTCCAAATATTCTTGCAGTGTCTATAGCTACATTCTCAGAATGACACCCCAGTTTCATCTGG